ATTAGAATAGAACTAGGATGTATTTGACAGGAAAGATGTGTTTCTTAATTTAATTACTCCAAGCAGAACTTGTCTAGACTGATCAAAAGGCATAAGATTTTAATTCTCTAAGGTATTAGCATCTGACCACTTTCAAAACCATATCCAGAGTTCAATCAATTACAGGACTGGCTTATGAAGTTTAGTTATGGTGGATGCAATGTGGTACACTGAATTCATAAGTGAGGACCCTTAGTTAACAACACATCTGTACCAAACAAGTAACACTAACGGCTATAATTAAGCAAATTCTATCTTAGTTAAAAATGGCGATAGGTATTTTCTTATACATATATCTCTAGTATAAATTATATAATAATGAAAAACAGGAATGATGTGCCATTGTAATCTTTTAAGGATGGTTTAATAGGAGAGGACAATTTACTAGCTTTTTTTTTTTAATCTTTATTTTTATGTGGTGCTGAGGATCAAACCCAGTGCCTCACCTATGCTAGGCAAGTGCTCTACCTCTGAGCCCAATTTACTAGCTTTTTAAAGCATGCTTTGACCTTGGTAGTTCATTTTCTTCAAGACTGTTCTGAGCTAATATGTGTTTAACATCATTTGGATATTTTTACGACTGCTTTGTTCTTTCTACCATCCTTTGCAAGTAGATAAATGCACATATGTTGCTAGAAATCTTTAAATGTATGATGAAAACATATGAAACTATCCATTAAACAATTACACAAATGTAGGTCTTATTTCTGAATAAGCCTGGAGGTGTGTGTCATTGGAAAATGATTTCGTGAATGTGAAAATGACCTGAATTGGCAATTGGTGACTGGTGGAATGAAGAGGAGGAGGGATGGGGAAACCTCCATTTACTGGAGTGTGAGACTTCCACGTACTACCTTCTTGTTCTGGTTTCAGGTTTCTCTTTGTTAAAAACCAAGCAAACAAACCCCCTTATGATTGGACTCTGTCCAAGAGTTGTAAAGTAACAGTCAGTGAAAAGAGTTTTGGGATTCCATGTACCAATTTCACTGAGGACTCACAAAAAAACTGTATAAGTCACTTATACTCTATGTTCAAAAAGGATTATATTTAATCCTAAAAATAATTAACTAGGGTGACTTTGCAGAATTCTAAGAGGATATTTAATTAAGTAAATTTCCACGAATTTAATAATTATCCTTTGATTGGATGTCATTCTTTATCTATGTTTTCACTAAATTCTAAAATTTTACGTTAATAAGTATATCTTCTTGTGTTAATTCATTCTCCATCTTTATCATCCACATCCTTGGTATCTGTGTTTCATGGATTTCTTTTCTCTGCTAATATCTTTCCTTACTGTTTTGAATCAGTGAGTCTTGCTTCTGCTTCTTCTGGTACTTGGATTCTAGTTAAATCCTCTATATTACATCTTATTTGGATTAGGATTGTTTCCCTTGATATATACTGCCAGGAAATTAGCTTGCTATTTTTCTTATATGCACAAGATTCATAAATTTTATTTTACAATCAAAGCATAATTGATGTCTAATATGACTAGAAATAATATCTTAAATATTATAATTTCATCAATGGATTTTTATCTTATTTGTTTATGAATTACTCTCCATTGATATATCTGTCTTTTTTGTATGTGTGTGTGGTAATGGGGACTGAACCTAGGGGCACGTTACTAATGAGTTACACCTCACCTCTTTTTATTTTTTATTTTGAGACAGAGTCTTGCTAAGTTGCTAAAGCTTGCCTTGAGCTTGCAATCCTTTTGCCTCAGCCTCTGAAGTTCCTATCATTATAGTCATGAAACACTGCACCCAGAAGATGTATCAGCCTTTATTATGTAAGTTGGGAGAGGGGGAATTTCACCATTAAATTTAGCATCTGAATTTTGCAGTTATAAATGGAACTAAAGGTCATCTGGTTTAAGCCTTTCATGTTATTGATAAGCAAGAGGGTAAATTATTTACTTGTCTAAGATAACTGACCAGTTCTAGGTCCCCAGCTCCTGTTACTATTATTCTAGGCCTGGCATTTTGTATTTGGTTCAAGTCAACTCATGGTGTGGTCAATCCCAAGATAAGCTTATGTGATTGGACTTAGAGAGTGCACCTTTTAGAACTGGCACAGATTCATCCTTCTGCTGAAAACACATATGCCATATAGATGCTTGATTTTGTTTCCAAAATCAATACCACATCACTTCTCAGTGACAGCAATCCATCCTATATTCACTTGACAAACATTTAATTTATGTTGTCTATGAAACAGGTACTGTGCTTTTCCCATTTTAGGGTACTTGCAATTTAAGATGAAGGCAAATGTAAAACAAGTAACTAAACAAAGAGTTGAATCCTAAAATAGAAGTATATATGTTTTAAATTTTTTTTTTAGTTTTAGATGGACACAGTACCATTATTTTGTTTATTTATTTTTATGTGGTGCTGAGGATTGAAACAAGTGCCTCATATATACTAGACAAGGGCTCTACCAGTGAGCCACAACCCCAGCCCAAGCATACATATCTTAAAATAATAAAATTATTTTTTTTCTTTGCATAACAGCTTCCTGCACAATTTGCCACCTGAATATCTAAAAAAGAGGAGGAGCAGATAAACATATAATTGAGAGTTGGTTACCATTTGGTCCATGAGTAAACATCTGCTTCTCCTGTCAAGTATTTCATGTTCCTAGGTGAAATTTTTTTTTTTTTTTTGGAGTTAAATAATCAAAGCATACTTACAGTATAAAGACAGAGTTCTCTCTTTTCTAGGTATACACTCTGAACAGTCTTATGTTATTTTTTCCAGAAATATTCTATACATACAGAAATGTATGCTTAATATTAAACATTATTTTTTCCCTACTTACCCTAGACATATATCAGTACACGTTCATCTGACTTTTAAAAAGATGGTGGAAATTAGAGCTTTGTATATATAGATAATAATTCAAGCAGAAAGTGACTTTTTTAATAATAAGAAATAACTGGGAGATAAACAAGGAAACACACACACACACACACACACACACACACACAATTTGAAATAGTTGACAGAGTCAATAGTACCATAGCACAAGCATATAGTAGCCAAAGTATGCCTGTACACCCAGCTTCATGGAAGGCTGAGACAGGAGGACTGCAATTTTGAGGCCTGCCTTGTGATTTTGTGATACCTTGTCTCAAACAAACAAACAAACAAAAAAACCAAATAAAAAACAAGGAGCAAAGAAAGAAAAAAAATATAGGGGATGTACCTCCATGTTAAAGCATCCCAGGTTAGATCCCCAGTGTGTGTGCGTGTCTGTGTGTGGGGATTTTCTGATTATTTCAACTGTGTTGATTTCTAGAACCTGTGTTGTGATAGCCTGTTTTTTTTTTTCTTTTTTCTTTTCATTCATAACTGCTGATAACTTTCTCCCTAACTAATCTGAGGAAGTGGTAAAAGTCAAACTTTTTCCTGTATGAGGCCACACTTGGTGCTGTCTGAAACCATCTAGACATGGCTGCCAGGTTCAGACATCCTTATGTTCCAACTCATACCGACTTTGCTCACCAATTCCTGGCCTTCCTTTGCTCAGCACTTGGCTTGACTTCCTGCCTTTTATCGGCGGCAATCTATCAAGACCCTGTAATGTGCTTAGTGCAGGGTAGAACAAGTCAGTACTCCACCTCACAATTTAAGGAAGGCAGGGGGCTAGTTTTTGTTTTTAAGATAAAAATCTTTTAACAAAACACAAATTCCCCCAAACTTCCTTTAAACCAAACAGCATTGTGACAGCCTCACAAGCTCTTATTACTTACACAGCCAGATGACTCAAGATTACTAACGTTTCTATTCATAAGGAGTTTGCTGGCCCCAAATCAACACATCGGGCCCTCCCCCATCTTCCTTCTCTCTCCCCAGGGAGATCTACGTTTGGATCTATGTTTTATTAGAATAAAACTGCTGCTGGAACGGTTTGTCCTGGTATTTTATAAAGCTTCTCCTACTTCTTTTTAAAGTTCGGTTTTTTTGTTTTGTTTTAATGGGTGGGGGGAAGGAGTTCGGAATCTCTTTAGCCCCTAAATCTTCCAATTCAGAAATCTATTGTAAAAATGGGCTATAAATACACTAAGGACGGTGTTCGCTATTTACTTGGAGAACAGGGTTCATATCAGAAATCACCTGCATCTACCTTCCTGTCACCTACTGTCAGAGACAGAGCAGAGCGGAAACAGATGAGCCTGCCTTCTGGGGGGTTACAGTCGAAGCTGCCATTTCTGCCCACTTTTCGCTTTGGATCTTTCACYTCACACCTTTCTCTGCAAAATTAAATGTAAAAAAACGTCTCTACTAAACCTGAAGGTGTTCCCCATGGCCTTAGGGCACTCGGTCCGGGACGCCCTTCACCTAACTCTGCGCCCTTTTCACAGGCGTTGGTGGCAAGGAGAAAACCTCGCAAATCACCGGACTCAGCCTGTTTCCTTTCGGTAGCGCCACGGTCCGGATTCGCGGCCCTCTCCGAGCCCTCCCCTTCGCGGCCCTCCGCGGGCCACGGTCCTCAAGCGCGCGGGCGGGGCGGGAGCACCGGGAGGAGCGCGGGGGCGGCCGGGAGGGGGCGCCGCCGGGGCACGAGCCGGTCCAGCGGGGCCGCGGAGAACCCGGACTCTGAGCGCGGAGCCAGGGTCGCAYTGGGGTCCCGCGCCCCGGGCCTGCGCCGAGGGGAAGGCGGGGCGGCGGCTGCAGCGGCGAAGGGGCGGTGGGGGTGGCGGTTTCGCGCCGCGGCTCTTTCAGCGAGCGCCTGCAACTCGGGGCTGACAACTTCTCCCCGCCCGCCCTCGCCCCGCGCACTCGGCCACCCGCGGCTCCCGCACCTCGTCCCCGGCCCGCCCCCGCCTCCTCCTGGGGCCGCGCCGCCTCCCCGCCAACACACACCCAGTGGGCCGCCGGCCGTGCTTCTCTCGGTTACAAAGGAGGGAAAATGAGCCGAGCGGCGGCGACACCGCGCGGGGCCACCTCGGCGACTGGGAGCGCGGCCGCCCCCGGCACCACGTAAAACGCCCCCACCCAGCCGCGGCCCAGGCCCGAACGGAGCCTGCAGCCGGCCGCTCGCCTCCCGAGCTCTGCGTCGCCTCCCGGCCGCGGGAGGAGGAGGAGGAGGAGGAGGAGGAGGAGGCGGCGCCGCCTTCTCCGCGCCGCGCGCCCTAGCCGTTGTCTGCGCTCGGCTCTGGACCAGTTTGGGGAAGTTGCCGGGGCCCCGCGTCGTCCAGATGTGCGACCTCATTGAACCACAGCCGACCGAGAAAATCGGCAAGATGAAGAAGTTGCGGAGAACTTTGTCGGAGAGTTTCAGCCGCATTGGTGAGTGACGAGCTGTACCCGGGACCCTGCCAAGCACCCTCGGCTCCCGATCCCTCGGCCCCGTGCCCCCGCCGCGCTCCTGGCTCTAGGCGTGCAGCTGGCACCCTGGGGGTGCGGTGGGGACCCGGGATGGAATGAATAGTGCTGGGACATGGGGGAGGGTGAGTACCAGAAGGAAGGACATCCCTGTCTCTCAGCATCTGGGGCTTCATTTGTGGACTATCTCAAGCCTTCAATTTGGGTTCGTCCTCCCTTCCACTAGTGTTTGGGCTTTCGCGCCCKCAGAGGATGGAAAAGGGGACGTCTCGGCCCCAAATGCGCACCGGACTGTGCGGCTGCCCTGATCACTCGTTATTTTTTCCGCGCAGGCTTTGGTGTTGGGTGTTTAATCAATAATTTAGCCTTGGAGACTGRCGAAGCCTTGGGTTGTGCCACAGTATTGTTTAGCATATCCAACCTAAAGGGAAGTGGGACAGATACCTTGGGACCTTTTGTTCGGTACTTCGGGTCCTAGAAAACGAGATTGGGTGTTCAGTTTCGAGGTCTCTGAATTTTCAAACTGCTGGAGAGAAATATGCGCTGTGAAGTTGTCTGGACATTTAGGAATTAAGTCTCTCCAACTTGTTCCATGTACTAGAGCTCCGGGGCTATTGTCTTTAACCCGGGGGAACCTACTGATTAACAAAAACCGACTGAGGAATGTTTAGGATACTCAAAAAATAAATCATGTCACAGGCTATAACACGGTGACAACAGTGGCATGTGGAATGGATTTGTTCGATTTTGAGTGTTGGCCATAGAAATCCCCTTTTAACCTGTAGAAATAGTTGTCTCCCCTGCTGTCATAACTTTCACCAATACAGGTAACTGCACCCAACAAGAGAATCCTACAAGCCCCCAAAGTAACCCATACTAAGAAACCTCCAGCCTTTGTTTCACATGTCATCCACGTTAATGAAGGTGTTAATGGAAATTAATCATAAATGGGCTAATTTCTCAAAATAAAACTCCGAGGTGCCAGTAAGTCCTGCAATCATCCTTCCATCCATTCATTATAAAGTACGAAAACTTTCTTCAAGAGAGAGAAAACGTGGTCAAGATTTAGTCAAATTTTTTTTTTCTTAAAATTTTATGTCAATTTACAAAATCTTTCCTAAGAAAAGTAATGTTGTGAAACCATTATTTAGTTCTGGTTTTATTTATGTGTATTGGATATTTGCAGTTTCACTCTTCAGAGTTAAGAATGCATATGCTGCATTCAGATGAAGTTTGAAGCCAAGAAGAGTGTGAGAGTGAGGTGTTGAGTTCTGTGCATCATCAGCAAGGATGTTTTAACCCCTAGCCCAAACCATCACAGAGGCAGGTCTTGGAGTCCATTAAGTCCTGCTCTAAAACACTTTAACTGTATATTTACTAATGCTAATGACTCTGTTGGAGTCCTTCCAGTTTTGTGTTAAATAATTCATTGCAGTTGAGTCTCAGTAAGAAATCAAGGACATTAATATAAAAAATTCCTTATGTTTAAATAATTTCAAGGTTTTGATTGACAATCAAGAAAATTTGGATTAACTACAATGCTGGTTAATGGGGCATTATAGCTAATTGGATTTTCTAGCTTATGGAGATTTAGTGATATGAAACTCCTTTGAGTTCAACTCTTGTTAAAAATGTCTTCTAAGATCTAGTGGATTTTATATCCTCGTTTTGGTACAGAGAAGTAAACATAACTGATTATTTCTTGTATTGAAGGAGGGTATGGTTCCAAATATCAAGTCAATATGGAATACTGTGAAAGGAGATTTTGAAGTTTAAGTGATTATAGTTGTATATATACCAAGCCCAGGATGGTCATTGGACATACCATTCCAGAAAAAGAATTCTTATTTATTTTCTCAATTTTTCCCCAAAATTGAAAGCAGTGAACACATTCTGATAATTTCAGGATKTTGAGATGCTAGAGGCTGTTGAACTGAGGCTTTACTATGGATTTGTATAGTGCATGAGCTAGGAATGAGACTGGGTGTCAGACTGGGGATTCCTGGTGTTGCCACTCTAGCTGAGTAACCTTATAAAGTCTGTTAACTTCTGCCACCTTTAGTTTTCCATGTACAGCTCCATTTTGTTGTTGACACTTAGTGAAATAATGAACATGATTTCCTATGTGATATGTAATAAAGACTCGATAAATGTTCATAATATCTTGTCATTATTAGGATTATGTCATACTGACATAAAGGAACTTATAGGTAGAAAGCAAGAAAAGAGGAAAAGAGGCCCCTGACTTTGTAGTAGAGCCATCCTGAAAACAGATTGGGTTTTGGAATTAGGCAGGTCTGGATTTGAACCTCATTTTCTTTACTTATTGTATATCATGGGCAGCTGTAGTAATTCCCTGCACTCCAGAGTTTTCATCTGTAAATATTCATAAGTTTGTGGTGAAGATTTAATCAGACAAAAATCCCTAAAATATCTGATGCAATGCCTATCTCATGGTGAGATCAATACTGGAGGATGTTGTTATTCCTTCCGATTTTTCTGTTTATATCCCCCTTTGTCCTCTTTTCTTCATTGGGACTTCATGARGAGATCAAAGAGTGAATGGTTTATTTCTGTTGAATAATCCAACACTGCAATTTATTCATTTCCTTCAGCCAATATAAAATGGGTTTTGAAAAAAACATAATGACTTTGTTTTTTAATATGATTTAAAGGTGTAGCTTTTATATGGTGAAATGTACAACATAATTTTTTGGCTGTAAGAAATCACTAATAATTTATCTATAGAAAATGAGGATGATGCTTGAAAGTATGTGATATACCATCTTTATTATAACAATAATTCTGAGTCCAAAAAGTAGGAAAGCTAATGTTTAATTTATTCATACATCAGAGATTGTGCTTTTTCACCACCCACCCCAAAAACAGCTGATCTGAGATTACTATATCATAAAAGGTCTAATAAAGCACATTGCCTTTCAAGCCATAGTGTTCTAATGTATAACATCTGCCAAGGAGTGACTATAACATAGCCATGGTTCTTTTATAAGATAGGTATGATTGAATTATAAAGTGAACCATCAATTTCAGTAGTGAGTATTTATGGTTTTCTGCTAAATAGTGTCCATGTGGGCCTTTATTTAGCAATTACTTTTGTTGTCTCACACTTTTTAAAAAWTTTTTAAAAAATTTTGGCCAACATAAAGACAAATAAATTTAATTGTTGGACAGTTTGAGTATATTAAAAAACATTTCTTCTTTTTCTTTCCTTGCTTCTTTTCTATTTCAGAATGATAGCCTAGGAGGATAAAGGCTCTGTGTAATCTCCAATGTATGATTAAGGTCAAATCTGACATTTCTTCATATTCATTTGGATATATTTCCTTCACATTTATATGAAGTTATCGCCTAGAGAAAGGAAGTTTATATACTGCTATACTTGATATGAACCCATGTATATCATTTCTTTAAAAAATGTAGTTTGTAAGGGAACTGAATAAAAGGAAGAGATTGTCATTATCTGAAATTTTGGATTTCTTACCTTGTGCTATAAGCATGTAATTCTGGAGCCTAGTTGTCATTTGATGAGCCCATTCTGTCAGTAAAAAGGAATATAAAGTTAAAGGTTTAGTCAGAAAATTTGAACTATTGTACTATCCCTTTCCCAATTCATTTTCAAAAGATTTCRCTTTGAGATGGAGGTATGGTAAAGGGCTTGCCTACCATGTACAAGCCTCTGAGTTTAATCCAAAGCACTGAAAATTTTCTTCGAAAATTACAAAATATGTGATTTATATTTGTGGTTCTTTTATGAGAGAAAAATGTATGGTTTTCATATGTCCCCAAAGTTAATATATCCCAAAGTGTATAATGCTATCCTTTTGGCATTGAAGTGGGACTCATCCATTCAACAGATTATGATAGAATACTTTCTATATGCTAGATGTTGTTCTGACACTCAGATTTAGTGACCAACATGGCCAACTCCTATTCTCAAGGATTTAAAGGGAAGACAAGCCAATGTAAATGCATGGAATAAGTGGCAAATTCTGCTATGAAAATTAGTGAAATTTGCTGTTGCAGAGCATAGGAAGAACATCACCTTCACATCAGTGATGTCATGGGAAGATTCTAGAGGGGACAGTGTCTGACCAGAGGCCTGAATAGAACATCTGGTGATCATAACTGGTTTAAGATACAGTCTTTGTTAATCCAGAATAATGCAATATGCTYCTTATTCTTTATATCCTTTAAGATGATTATGGTTTTACATTTACATAAATAATTAACAACAATCAGAGAATGTAATCAATAACAAGACATTGTGGTGTATATTTAGGTCAGAGTTTATTCACCAGTGACCTGATAAATATCTTGCAAGAATAAGTTTAATTGGTCTTTGTTGTCACTATTAACTGCTTTTTCAGGGAAAGTGTTCAATATTTTGAAGAAACCATGTAAGGTGTCAATCTCAGCAATGAAAGATTTTAATTAAGTAATGGCTTCTTGATCTAAAAATATTTTGCCCTGTGGTACCCAGGATTTGAAAGTTTTATAAAGTGGAGAGAATCTGGCTTTCTATTCATTATATTTTAGCAAATATACCTGCAAATTTTTATTTTCTCCTTTTGCTATCTTCAGACCCCAACTTTTTTTTTTTTTTTTTTTTTTTTTGTTCAGAGACTAGGGAATTGTTAGGACTTAGGAGACAAGAAGGAAAAGACATTTTGGTTTTTCTGCCCTCTTTATTCTCAATGGAGGGTCTTCATTCCATGTTTGGAATTCCCAAAGAGTTGCTACCACTTCTTAAGAAAACACATGGCTAAATTTCTAAAACTTTTATAATCCAAACTAGAGAAAATATATTTAAAGGTTTGTATTCTGAATTATAAGCTGACTGCTGTAGTTTTGCATCTTGCATGATGGTCATGCAATATGTACTCCCTTAATCTTTGTTAAATGAGCTGGGTATGAGGCTGTATAATAATTTTCTTATTGCCATTTGAAATCAATGGGCATTTCATTTCTTATTCTAGAGAAATTACTTTTTTTATAGAGCAATTTGTCTATATTTAGAATTACATGGCTACTATTTTGTAGAGGACTTAAGTTGTTGATTAAAAGACACACCTTTAGATGAGGGAGTATGGAGAAATTTAAAGAGAGTCTTCTAGATTAGAAGTTAAATTCTAGTAAAAATGTAACTGTTAGGAACCATATCTATCAAAATCTTATATCTATCAAAATAGGTTATTTTCAATTTAATATAAATTATGTCACGTATATAATAAAATATAGACCTTCCATTGAGAATAAACTTCCAAGTGTTTGAGTGCGGGGTAGGTGTTTGAGAATGGGATAAATGACTGTCTTCTTATTTTCTATTGACARTAAATTGTTATCTAACAAAGTAAGTGGACAAATTTCTTTATGAATGTCTTAAGCAGAAGGGAAAAACTAAGAACTAAACTGTTAGAAACGTTTTATCTTTCTCAGCCAACCTGCATCCCTCATAACTCACCACCACAYTGATATACTTCTTCATCTTTTTTGAAAGTCAACTTTATGCTATAAAACAGAAAATAACATTTTCAGTATTGCTAGAGTATATWWTATAAACATTCACATGTTAGCTTCAAATTAGGCACATTACTTTTCTCAGAGTTTAATTACAAAAATGCTTTGCTTTTCATTGCTTTTGTCAGAACATAGTTTTCCAAGTATTAACTCCCCAAGACCTCTGTCCAGGCTAGGACTCTCTGCTATAGRCCACTAACCACCTATGCACAATTCTGTAAATTTTAAACATTTCTGCAACAAGTGGATTCAGATAAATTATTTTGTGCATTTCCCTTTCTATGAAACATTCTAAGTCATTGTAGAATTTAAGGAAGCAGAAGTATACGTGTGCCAACTATAAGTGGTATTCTTCACTTTCTCTTTAGAGTGATAAAATTCCAGTTCTATAAACTAAAAGTATTTGTTGGTTCCTATAAACATTCTAAGTGTATTGCTTTCTTTGGAAATACTTTTTTATAAAGTTTATCATATTGAATAGTTTGACGTTTATCTCATTCTGCCATGTTTATTTTGCATGCTCAGTCTTTTGTCACCATGCTTAAACTTCTCTCAGTATGGAAATGTCATTAAGGTACCACACAGAGTGATTGTCGTCCTAACAATTGGTTTGGGAGGTCTGTGTATCACACATGATGATCTATAGTCAGAAAAATTTCCGTAAGATGACTTTGTGCTTCTTTTATACTTTTCATTAAAATGTTCAATTCAAGAGGAGATGGGGAAAGGTATTTGGGAGGATAGTTCTATTTTCATGTTTATGAAAAATGTTTCACAAAGATGCATTCTGTGCAGTTCTCTCTCATTTGCGATTTTTGTATTTGTGATATAACGTTGTTCAGATTGGGGTCCAATTTTACTTTCTGAAATGAAAAAAAAAACATTACTGTTTTATTGCCCCCCCCCCCATTCTGTTTTCTAGAACTTAGACAGGTAGCCTCTTTGGGGTACTTCACAATTAATTGTTTCCTTTCCCTTTTTATTTTGTAGCTTTGAAGAAAGACGACACCACATTTGATGAGGTAGGCTAAATTTCTTTATCTACTTTTGGGTGTATTTAATTACCTCTAGTAAAGTCAGTAGGTGCTAACTTCTCACTTAGAAGCAGGGGGAAAAATCCTTAAAAAACAAATAAGAAATAACATTTGTTTAGTTGTATTATTTTCAGTTTTTTAAAAATAGTTATTCAAATTTAAATATTCATTCAAATGAATTTTGTAGTAATMCTCAGAAACATGTATTTAAGTAAATAAACTCATTGAGAGACACTTGCAGGTCTTTGCATTTTGTCTTCCTGCTGCAGTAGTGCTGGAGAAGACCAGTGTGAGGTGCTTGCTTAGGGCAAGTCTAGAGCCTCAGAAAGCTGGGCACTGTGGCTCCTTTGTAGACCTCTGCCCAATCAGGCATGATGTAGTATTGACCCACATATTGTCTTTCAGTCTCCCAAAGGAGACAGTGACTCTTCCTGTTCTATTTTCCCTGTTCTCTGTGTATCAGATGTGTCTTTATCTACTTGCTRCAAAGTAGTGAAAAAACACTTTTGAAGTAAGGCAGAGATTCATATGTAATTAATAGAATTCTGAATGTGATTTTAAAATTGTGCTTTCCTGAGTTTGTGTTTCAGAGTGAAGTATTTTATTGTAATCATCGAAAGCCACAGTTGATCTGTTGCAAACTTGCCACACGTGTATGTGTGCTGTGTATTTATATATAAACAGAGATGTATCTACACAAGGTGCTTACCTCACAGCCTAATAAAAGCAAAGATTTAGTTTGGTTTGGTTGGTTGATTTGTTGGAACACTTGCATATTTCCATGAAATATGTTACCTGTTTTCCTTCCGCTGTAGTGCTTCAGAGAGGAAAAGGGCATTTGTGCTCATGGAATGTCCCTTTGGCCATGTGGCTGGCCCTGGTGCATGGCAGGTCCACTCTGGGAGAACCCGCTGCAGGCTGGGATTTCTGGATGGGGCCAGCATCACTTGGCTGTCACGGTCTGCTGCTTCATCTGCTGCACCTGTTCTTTTTTTTCCCCCCCTGGACTGAGCTCTACAAAGCTGTGTTTCTGGATTCCAAAGCAACTCCCCCTGCCAGTAGTCCTATAATATCCTCTAAAGCTCAATTCTTCTTGACCTGAAGCAATAGAGGAATTTTTTTCTGTCCCATTCATAGTAGGTAATAATGGTGTTTTCCTCCAAACCTGTATTTCTGGAATTTTCACCAGGCTATTATTGAGATGTTTTCAGGAGAGTACTTTCTTTCTTCCATGGGGAAATCAGTATGAGAATACCAGACATCATTTCTCTCTTTAAAAAGGAAGGTGTTCCCTCTTAATTATGGAGGTAGCACAAACTTACATTAAGAAAGAAAAATAAAGAAAAGGAGGAAAAAAAACCCTCCCAAATCATGTTATCCAGATACAACCACTATTGAATATTCTTGCTTCATTCCCTGTGTTTTAAAATTATAGCCCATTGTATACCTGCCTTTCCCTTTAACCTGTAGCATAATGCGCCCCCCTTTTGTAACAATGTCTTCCTAATCATTATTAAGAATTAAAAAAAAAAACTCCTCTGTCTTATTTAAACCCCATTGTTAATGATTGTGTTTTATTCTGTCATGTGCCTGGACCATTAGCTTAAACAAATGAAACAGTCTAGAGCCAGATGAAGGTTATGATATAAAAGGAAAAAGGATGTATCGGTGACTACCCTAACTTTATATTATTCTGAAACCTGTGCACAGTTAAAGGTCTGGACTTTGTAATTTGGAGAAAAACCATCCTTAGCTTTTACACAGCACTTTTCTTCCTTCATAGCACGGGAGATTGGTTAAATGCCATAAATCACAGGGTGTTAGACCTAAAAGAACCATTGGAAATCGTCTTTTTCCCACTCCGTCATTTCACAGATGAAGGAATCCAGATCCAGAGGGGCAGGGTAATTTCCAGCTCAAGGAAAAACCAAGAGCTGGGAGCCTGGGAGATAGTAGCAATGAAGGCATGCCTCGGGGTGAACCCTAACCACCCTCTGATGGAGCAATTGACATATGCTTCCTTGTGTTTGTAAAATAGACACAATAATAGGATCTTCCTCTTAGAGTAGCTAGGAGTATTAAATAAGCTAAAATATACAAAGGATTCAGAATAATAGCTGTCAGAGTAAATGTCTGAAAGTTGGTATTATCATCTTCATTGCTTTCCTCCTCCTCCCCATCCTCTTCCTCACTACCACCATGACCAATATTCCACCTCATATCCCCATTTGTATTTGGAAGGTCTACAAAGAGGATAGAAGGATTCAGTTAGAAATTATGAATTGGAGTTATAAGGAGAGTTAATTTCAGATATCACTCTAAAATTCCAAATAAAGCTTTGTGTGATAATTTGCATTAAAACTGAAAATGTTACCTGAACCTAACCATGTTTTTTTTTAGGTTCCATGAGGGGATGATTGTATTCAGCTTTGTAATTCCTAGGTATATTTTACATGGTTAATATTCAATAAATATATGTCAAATATGAGTAACAAGGAATAGAGAGAGTGACAAATCAGGTGTCAGGCAGTGTGGATTCTTATTTGCTATTTTCTAGCTATTTGGGCAAGTTATCTAACTTGCTTCAACCTCAGTTTTAGCAGTTGTAAAATCAGTGAGTTGGACTGTGCTCTTCAACTATGTTTTCTAGTTCTGAACATAGGATTCTAAGAACCTAATAACCAGCTTAAAATTAATTTAGTCAAGATCAGAGAAGCACCAGATATGTGGTGATATAAATAGGAAGCATTTAGTTCTTCTGTGATCATTTTCAGTTTATTGTGGTAGAAGTTTGCTTGAACTCATGTTTTCCACTTTTTCTCTCTTGGAATTGTACTACTCTGTAGTCCACTGAAATTTAATTCAGATTTGAATCTGGAAGCCTGAGGGCTGGACCATTTTCCTAGATATGCCACAAGGTGCTGCAACCCTGTCCTTAATACTATGAGCTTATCTCAAGGAGTGGCTTCCTCCAGGGGGTGACTGAACTGGAGATCAATTGTGGCTCCATGATTCATATAGAGGATTTCTTTAGAGGGTGAGTGAGGAGAAAAAGAAATATAGATTTAGTTGTCATTTAATTATTCAATTCAAATACTCTTATTGCTGATTTTCATTTTGAAAATTATAATTCTTGAATGTATTCAGAAGTATGTGCTAATGATTGTAAATTAGGCTCTCTCTCTCTCTGTGTGTGTGTGTGTGTGTGTGTGTGTGTGTGTGTGAACAGTTTGGAAGTTAAGTATTGAGGTCTTTAAGTATTTGCAAATGATAGGGAATTTTACTGAAGCCTATCATCATTATCATTGGAGAGAGGACATTTTAAGGATGATAATTTTATCCTTTATTCATGTTGTATTTTGTCCCTTACTAAAATATTAGCTGACTTTCACTCTGTGGCTTTAATGTATATTTTTTTTGACTTGGGTGGATTAATCATTTATATAGCCATCCAAGTTAACATTTTTTTTTTSTTTTCAGTTTTAGGTTTCYTTCCCTATCTTCTTGATGTTTGGATCTTCAGGGTTTGACATAGTACTTGGCCAAACTAAAGAGGCTAAACAAATAATTGCCAGAGAAACAAATAAGCTAGATGGAAGGCTAGAGATTGGCTTTTTACACCAWGCATTTTAGTGGGCACCGTGATTTTATGTTTTTGGTGACATTGTGATGAGGCCTCCAGTGTGAACTTCATGTCTATGATACTCTTACAAAACTTTCTAAATGCCTTTTTAGCCTTTTTTCCCCAGTAATCATTTTAGCCATTCTTCCCAAGGCAACAAGTAATAGTTATGCTACGACTTCAGATGAATTTTTGAATCTTTTTTTTTTCAATTTAATGATTTGTTTTGGAATAAAAATGCTACCTATTATATAAAAGATCTGAAGATACACTCCACCAATACAGAATTGTCACATATAAAGACTTTTGAACTTTAGAGACAGACACTCCAGTTAATTATAAATACCTCTGTATAGAAAGGGAAATGTCTGAAGCTACCATGGGTCATGAATTGTTCTTGAATAAATTAATAGGCTAAATTGTATATTTCTGCTTCCTGCCTCTGTTAAATAAGATAAGCTCAGATGAGTAACCTGAACAAAGTGTACATTCGGCTTGGCTTTTACATGAGAAGTTCAAAAATTTTGGTGATTGAAATAAACTTTTAAATGTAAAGGGTTTCATTTACTTATGGTATATAATCTAGAGAACTAAGCCCTTATTTGTTGGAAAAAATAGCTTATTATTATTTATGAGGTTTCTGATTATTCCCTGTCTGCTCAGTTATTTCATGTCTGAGAAGTAGAAGGGGCCACTAGTACTCACTTGGCATTTTCTAATTATTTTACTTTTTGTTTTTGTACTGGGGATTGAACCTAGGAGCTCTTAACCACTGAGAAATATCCTCAGCTTTTTTTTTTTTTTTGCATTTTATAAAGAGACAAAGTCTCACTGAGTTGCTTAGAGCTTCCATAAATTGCTGAGGCTGGTTTTGAACTTGCAGTCCTCCTGCCTCAGCCTCCAGAGCTGCTGGGATTACAGGTGTGTGCCATTGCACCCTGTTTATTTTACTTTTTGAATCCTAGGAAAATGTGTACAAAATGTATAAAAGTCAACATTTTTATGTCTGARCTGTAAGTTACCTAAGTACATTTTGTGGGTTAGCTTGTTTACTATGTGTATAATAATTGTATTAGATGGTATAATGTACACTGATCTTAGCTTCTAGACCATGACTGTCTTTACTGTTTTGTAAGAAGATATAATACCTGAAGATAATAAATGTAGCAGTGATGTTCATGAGAATCAGAGGCTAGGGTTTATATGAAGATAATTTGGGGATACTCCTGAACATTCTTTTCTATTAATTGAGAGTATGGAAGYTGGTTCAGTCTCTTCTTGGCTGTTGTCATTGGTGATCTTAGTGTCCTTATGGATGCTGTATACATAGTATACAGCTGTCCAGCTGCTGTTCCCTGACTTCCTC